AAATTAGGGGGATCAAACTGATTTACCTTTTCGAAAATTTTAGCCAGAAAAAAGGCTCCCGAAAATTCTAGGTGACCTTTTTACGGAAAAAATCCGTTAAAAAACGGGCAATTATCCTATTTTTCAGATGTTCGCCGAGAAATTTTACAACAAATGTTCCGAAAATTCTAGTCTCAAATCGTCTTCCGAACAGATATTTTCCAAAAATTGACGTTGGGTGCCCCTGGTTCATATGCTTCTGTTGTGATATATGAGGCCTCAAGGGGTTGAATTCCGATTAGGCACTAAATCGGTAGTATCTAAACCAAGGAATGTTGTTTCGTCGTTTAGTTTCATAGAATATTTGCATATTATGGGCTATGCCGAGGACGACCTAGCATCCGTTTCGTAAGCACCTTATATGAGCCGAAGTCCATGACGTATGAGTTTTTATACACTCAGATTTTTGTGACCGACTCAAATTTTAACAAAAATAACATTTATATTGGTAAGTAAACAACATCAGTACTACTTTCAATGCTAACTAATCTCTATTCACTTTCGAGCACGCACTTTTTGATTGCTTCATTGTGCGCAAGCTATTGAATCCACTTGCTTTGTGTGTGGTAACGGACTGGCCTGTCTGCTTATTGGCGCGTGCCACAACCCATGGAATGAAACACAATTAACTTAAGTGAATGTACAATCAGAGATTTTTATCATTATGCACATATACTAAACACTCCTCTTAAACGTGCGTCATTCTCTACTGAAGCCAACAAGTCATCATGTTTTTTAGCAATGAACATTACACTCTTTTTAACACATGGGGATGACGTTCATCGACTGAGATGAATTTCATTACCTCTTGTTAGCGTTGCTCTTCAATTGCCTGGCCATCAAGAATTTGGCTACAGTATTTACGCTTGGGACAAACCTACCATTCAGCAGTAAAACCGCGTGTTTGAAAGGTAGGTCATATGAGTTCAAACATGTCGGAAGGTCAGTTATTATATATGGTCAAGGCCCTCTAGTGCGTGTTGCTACTACCACGGCAGCGATTCAACCATTAGGAGTGTTTGTCTGTTAATTTTTTGTACAAACCGCTGTATGTTTCTGGTACTTCTATTCTGTTGCTGGCACAATGTTGATGGACCTGCATTAAACCACCATGACCAATATATTAGTCCGCGTTCGAACAAGGCTAGTCAGCTATTCACGTGCGCCGTGTCTATTTCAGTATCTTAATAACGAGATTGGAACCAAATTAACTGAAGACGTATTGAGTGTGCCCGAGGGTCAGGGTGACTGAGTGCACTGGACAGTTATGAAGAATAGACACTAATATTAATCACGGTAATTTTGTTTTATCAGTAGTTTGTATGGTAAACTAAGCTAATTTTACCCTCCACAAATTATATTGATGTTCATCTCGGGGCTACGTGACTGGAAATTATAAAAAATGGTTGACCTCGAACCTTACAAACAGAATGAGAAAATAATAGCACCCCACTTCCAGTGCTACCTTACTAAAAAATCTACTCAACTATTGTAGTTCAAATTTTCAGTTATTTTTCCCTCAACATTTCTATTCAAGGTTTCGCTCAATGCTTTTCACAAAACGAACGAAATTTCACAAAAAGAACTCAACCTCTTTTTCTTAGCCGAGGTGAAATAAAGGGATTATTAAGAAATGCGTGCAACTCTCTGCGTTTCCGTGCTGCATTAAGTGGTCATATAATAAGTTCTGAAAATGATCTACGTTTGCCAAAGCCAATTAGGTGTAGCTTTTAGTCATTAGCATGCCATTTAGTTTTTAGTTCATTTTTGATAACCAGAGTAATGGGCTGTTGTTAAATCCGCATTCCTGATGAATCAGTTTCCTCAATCGTATAGTATGTCTTTTCAGGAAGAAAGAAAACCTTTTTAGTTCTCCTTGAATCCTTGAATCCCTGATTTCAGTATAGATTTATATTCACAAGCAGAAATTTTTATCGGTTTTCAGTTGACATTATAAGATTGGAAACTTAACCGTAATTTCACCAATCCATATATATGTTGTGGCTCAATTTTTATCCTTGGTTTAAATTTTCTTTTCTTTTGTTTTTGGGTATGGTAATGCATGATAACGAGTTTGAAACAAAAGAGAATAAAATTAAACCAAAGATAAAATTGAACCACAACAAATACCGTAAACTTCCGATTATCAGCCCTAGGCTTATACAGCTTCGTAAGGGATTTTAGAGGCTTATAATCGGACTAAAAAAGGTGTTTCAAAACAAGCTACATAACAGTGCTGGTCAAAATACTGTTTGAATTTGATCGCATTTTTAAGCCTCAAATCATCGTAAAAAGTCGAATTCATTTCAATACATGCTAGAGGGGGGCTTTTATTCTGAAGCGGCGGTTATAACCAGATGTAAGTAGATGGGCCTATAAATGGGGGGGGGAGCGGATTATAATCGGAAGTTTACGGTAAGTCTTTATTTATGCTTTTATTTATTTAACTATTTATTTATTTATTTATCAAATTATGTTTTTGTTATTTATTCACTTCCCTTTTTAAAAGTTCACTACCGTAAAATGCTCGAATCAGGGAGTAAAATTTGCATTTGTTGCGTGTTTTAAAACCGTACATGACAACCCTCTCTCTTCCCCTAACCCACGTACAACGTTTAACTCGTGTCGTGTATCCAAATTTTTTCCTGAGTTTGAACATTGTATAGGGTGGGGAGACTGCAAGACATTTGAAAAAATATCCTCTGTTTTATGACTTTTCTCCTCGATTGTAGTAATGCAGATGGATGTGAAAACTTTTTGCCAGCTATAATGGCGTTAATTGCAATGGTGTTGTCGATGATGATGATGAATCCAAGGAAATTTCAACTTGTTCATTCTAACTACATTTTCTTTCTTTAGCTTTGGCTATATAAATTTATGATTGACTGCACGTTGATGCACAGAATTAATTAACTATCAGAAATAGACATGTTAGCCTTAAGTTGCAGCAGTGTGTCATAAGCCATGTGTCGCTAATTCAGATAGAACGTACAGTCACGTTACAAGTTCCATTAGCGCTTTTTAAAGAAAAATTTCCTCTGTTCTCGTTTAATTACCCTAAATTCTATTTCTCACCAAAAAATTTCCAACAAGATGAGTAATATTTCAACTTTTCTCAAAATTACTGAACAAAAATGGACGTCATTGAGCAAAAAAATTATTTTAGCCAAACGCTAACTATTATCACGCTATTTTATTTCATGAAACAAGTGAAATAAACTATTGTAATATGTTTTGCCTGAGGTATTAAAAGGTAAAATTTCCTGTTTATGATATTAATTCAATATTGTCGTTTAGTATACTTGTTTCTTCACTTTAGAGGTTTTTTTGACTTATTCGTTTATTTTGCTTGTCATTGCTATCTGTCAGATTGAAAAAGTTTGTGATTATAGTTGAATGTTCATCTTTTTACTTCGCGACGTAGTGTAATTCATTCTTGACAAAATCTGCCAAAAGTTACAATTGTAAACATCCCTGGTAAACAAGAATTTTTCGTTTAGTTTCAAAACATTCCTTTTAGATTAACAACCGACACTTAATTTCCGTTGTGGTGGAAATATCCTAATATATTTACTTCCTCGTCTGTAGTTGCGATTAACATGTTCTTCTCAAAAAATGGCATTTTATCGCTCAAGCTCATGCAAAAACGTACAGATTTCAGTAAGACTTGTAGACTTATAAATAAGGTAATTCCGGGCTCGTATTGGCTCTTCTAGATTTCAACATGACTCTGATTGGACGTTTGTCACATGTCAGGCAATGAATTGAGATCTAATTTACCGCTTATATTTCTACAGCACGTATTTTATCTTCTGAACGTAAACCTCAATAAGGCATTGGCGCCGTCAGACTATCGCCTTATATCGGATACTGATAGCTGGTTATCTCTTTAAGAAGCCCAATATTGCGTGATCTCTTTAGTCTCCGGGCAGCAAATATAGTAAGTAGTAAGTCTAATTTACATCGGCTAAATTGTCAAATTGTTCTATATAATTACGGAGAGAACATTTTTAAATTATTGTACGGTCGCGTGATAAAAACTGCCAAGTGCTACGCAGTTGTTTCTCAGGCACCACTGAATTTTGGCAAGTTTGAAAATGATTTTAACTTTTTTTCAACTCATCCAGTTATCTTTGCGTTACAGACGGGGGCAAAGGCGGAGAAGAGTGTAAATCTTTCCTATCCGTTAGTTAACGAATTTCTGAATCACTCTGAATCACAAGTAATTCTTGCAACTAAAAACAACGGAACTCATCCTGTTTTTACCCAGAAAAAATGGCTCCCAAATTTTAGAAAGGCTGGGAAATAAATCTATTTGAGTTCTAAATCAAACGTATAGCAAAGACCAAACACATTTACCTAGCAAAACAAATAGATCAGCATTAAGAGCTGACGAAAAAGTTGGTTTGTGATACTGCACTTATGATCGGTCTGACACTGACTAACTTGGCGTTATCAAGCATAGTTGATCAAGGAATTTGAGTTATCTTTGTATCTTCTAGTGCATGAATGTAATTTCTATATGTTTTTTTTTAATCATCACATTGCATGGTGATAAATGCATTCGAGGACGCAAATCTAAACATGACAAAATACTTTTCAATTTTGAATAGAAAAACACGTCACAAGCAAGAAAAGGGATCAACTGACACATTCAGGAGGTAGGACTTATTTCAGCCATTTCTCACTTGTGTGTTCATGCATACAGGAAGCAAAAAGCTGTGAGCTGGGTTATAGATAACATTAGGTCTTCCCTTTTGACCCCTCTGGTCCTAATATATTTGAGAATGTCAGTTCAGATATCACAAATCACAAAGTTACATTTCTTTGCCTAAGCTTACGTTACATGATGTTGTCTTTGATTTCTTTGTTATCATATCATAGATACAGAAGAGAATTCAGTTAGTTTTGGTTGATGTTTTTTTTTCCAAAGAAAAATCATGAATGAATAATTCTTAATTATGCCTCACCAACTTTCTGCTTTCATCAACTTTCTCAGTGATGGTCAGTGATTGTGATCTGGCCTCTTGCTTTATTTTGAGCTTTTATTTCATCCCTGCCTAACTAGTTTGCTATTCAAACAAGATCACTCTTAAACGTTTTCCAGGATTTTGGGCGCCAGTGCTGCGTTAATATGGCTTCAGACCGCTGTAAAAAGACATTAGGGACTTAAAGGTTCAACGACGCGACGGCAACGAGAACGTCGCTCAAAAAGTGAATTTGCGTTCTTTCAAATGTAGGCCAAGCCGCCTAAAGTTGAATTTCAAGGGACCGTATCCAAGTTCAGAAAGAGAAATAAAATTTCGTCATTGCTTGTTTACGTTCTCCATAAATGGCGAAATTAGGCATTCTCACGTCGTAGTCGTGCAAAAATGGCAAAGAAATGCACAAAAAGAATGATGCACGTACAAAGTTGTTAATCGCTTATTAAACCGCTATTGCTTTTTTTGACGTTCTCGTTGGCGTCGTGTCGTTGGATCTTAAAGTCCTAGAAAAAAAAACCTTTTAAAGAGACAGAATTCAGTGTAATTCTAAATTTAAATGAGTCCGCACGAAATTCAGGGTGTGTCGCCATTTGAATGAAACGGCCTCTTCAGCAAAACTTTCAAATGTCAGTATTACTTACTTAGATACATTCTACCTTTCACGTTAATGCCATTCGTTCAAATGAAACCTCTCCAGCAGTAAAGTAATTTCACATAGTCCTTTGGTAATTTACGACAGGCGAAATTATCTAATTTCTTGATTTTGGTTTAAGGCACTATTGAGAATGAAAAGCTGAATTATGAATTTCTTGAGCGTTTTCTACAAATCAAACAACCGTGTAAAACTGCCGTGTCTGGTGATTTTCGCCATTTTTTCCCATTTAAAGCTTATTCCATTTTAAAAGCAGATGTTCTTCTAAAAATCAACAGAAATCTCATTCAAATTCATTGAAATCTGTCCGACCTATCCATATCCCAGTTTGTCCAAGTCTTAGCTTTTGTCTGCTGTAAATGCAAACTAAAAGTTGTGTGTCCTTAAGCTATACTTTTTCTCTTCGTTTGTCTCCTGAAAAGATTTGGCCTCGCCCTTGGCTAGTCAGACCGTAACTCATTTTGCCAGGTTTCTTGAAGAGGCGGTCTCGCGCATCTGGCGCTATGACATTGATTTATAGCTTGGGATTGCAAACTGAAAAGGGTGTGAAATAATTAAAGACTGTTTGTCGAGGGGCTTTTTTTAGTAAAGAAAACTCCATTTACCCCTCCAACCTCAAGCATTCATTCGTTCAGTGATTATACAATGAATACATAATTCGGTACAAGAAAATTTCAAAAAATTATTTCCAAACAGTAAACATAATTCGGAAATATAGATAGATCACACAGTACAAATTACTACAGGCAATTTGCGTTCGAGAAAACAGAAAGGTTCCATGATTGTAATAATTAACTTTGACATTCTTGCACAGCTACGAATCGACGTTTTTGTAAGGGAAACGTTTATATTAATAAACTAATTTATATAGTAACAGCCCTACCCTCTTTAACACAATATGAATGGTGAGAATTGTTAGGTAGGAGTATTCTTAATTTTCTTTTACTTCTTTTCCTTTTTTATAGAGAAGAGAAAGGGCAAAATGAGCACGAACTCTACAGGAGTAAACGGTACGTGATGAGAGTTAGCTAGAGGAAGAACGAGGAATTTGTACAATTCGCAATTTGTACAATTCAGAAAGGAATCAAAACGTTTCGTTTTATTTTTTTTCTTTTTTCAAATAATCAAAACCCAACCTTTTCAAGCATCACAGCTTATGTAAGTAAAAAGAAATGCTTTTTATTTCATCATCGTTTAATGAAAAGAGCGATAAAGTAGATAACACAGCAGAAAAAATGTATGGCATCTGCTGGTTAAAGGCCATAATGTTCACCATCACCTATGAGATTCAGTTTTTCCGTGGGATGCCTGTGGCACTCCCACGGTAAAAATCCGGTTCGGTTGTACCCAAAATTGCAAAGCCAGCCAATAGGATTGCCTAAAATCTTTATCGATTAGCTCTTCTTCCAAGCCGACCAATCAGATTGTACAAAATCTGTATCGGTTTTTAATCGATTTGCTTCCTCTAAAGAACGTTGAAATTAGAACGTTCCTTGCCAAATTTGTCGCGCTAGAGTATTCCCACTCGTGGTTTAGAATGGCTTGTTAACCAGCTAAATCCTTCGGGATACTGGTAAGTCACGAAAGGCGACCTAACCAAATTATTTCTTTCCTTCATGATTCTTTTTTGTTGAGGTCTAGCTTTTTCATAAGGTTTTAGTAGCGTCTGGTTGCGGGCCGTGATTTCCGATCGATTTTTCTATTCGGAGTTCGCCAGTTTTTGCCGAGCACAGCTAGAGTTCAGTTTTTTTCTTTTCTTATCGAAAACACGTTGACGATGGGAGGTTAAATCGTGTAAATTTCAACTCGTACCCTTGACGATTGGCGGTGAAATCGCGAAAACATTGTCCTCGTCGATCGACAACTCGCTTTCGGCTTGGATTGGACTTCTGGATGGGACACGGATCAGGAGTGGACCTTAGTAAACTTGTGATACCTTGGAATCAGGGATAATCATTGGAACTATGTTAACTTTGAGACCTTGGAAACACATTGCAATTAATTTTTAACTGTATCAAGAGCATCTTGGAATATTAAACTTTCATCTTGGATTAAAACATTGGAACTTTATCGAACTTTGTAACCCTTGGTTCGACCCTGGATAAAGCAAGCGGATGTTTTGTTTTGTTTTGTTTTGTTCCATTAACCTAAAACTACAATGTTTATTAATTTCTCTTTGAAAAAGTTACCTGTGGCAACTTACTACCAAGATATGATGTATTTTTATACATATAGTTCCTGTTCAGGTTAATCAGAGAGCATTATGCGCATGTTCTCCATTACTTGTTTCTCTTAACATTCCAATTTAAGTTACGCGGGTAAACCTTGTTTTGATGCAAAATAACTTCTTTTTCTCATCCAAATCGTGCTATGAAAATGACTACATAGCGATAGATCAAAACAAGATCAACTCCATCCTTGCGACCACTGACAACTATAAATTTAGCTTGCGTAGCAGGTGTCGAAAGGGGTAGGGGATAGGGAGGAAGCAAAAAGGGGATGTGGATTGGGGAGAAATAGTAGCCTGCGTGGCAGGCTACTATAAATTCAGTCATAAGCACATTAAACCAATCCATACAGGTAACCTACTCATCGATGCTCATAACATGACACATCTTTCCGGTTTCCCTAATCATTCCAAATTCAGATAGAACGCCATTATTCTTCCATAGACCAACGCATCCCACGGAAACGACTTTAGGCGTCTTGTTCTATATCAACCGAGCTCTTGAAGTCGTACTCAATGTAGCACAAAATAACATTGTAGGTGCGGAGCCGCTGGAGCATTCTATCGGGGGCGCAGCTACAAATGAGCATTATGATATAACATTGGAATGATCTTCCTGACAATAGGTCCCAAGTCTTAACTTGCGCAAACATTTTCTGGTCTTTTGTTAAGAGCCGATGTTGACCCTCGCAACTCTTTTGTTACGTTGTGACAAGTTGGGAAGAGTTAAAATTTCATCGTCTAAACTTTGAAAGGCAAGATCTCTCAGGTGATATTTTTTTTCACTGCCGGAATACTTTACGAGAAGACATAAGGAGCGGCTGTATATAAGTATACTTTTAAATTTGCTGATTCTGATTCGCTAGCTAAAGGGTTTTTAGGTTAATAAAAGAAGAACTTTTATGGACGCGCATGCCCGTTTCGCCTAGCTATTTGCTTTTTTCCTTTGGGTAGTTTGCGTTGAGAAAACTTAATAGCGAAGAGAAGTGTGACGTCACAAAAATTCAAATTAGGGAAATTATGGGATTGGTTAAAATATTCAGACAGAAAAAGATGTAAAAAGCCTCCTTGCCAAACATCAGCCTGTTAGAGCGGTGCGGAGACATAAGCACCGGTTTGCTCTGATGACTCCATATAATAAATGCTTCTAAAATTGGCTTGGATCGAAACGTCAACGATCCAGGCCTATGTTTTAGAAGGATTTGAGTCATCAGAACATAACGTTGCTTATATCTCCGCAGCCCGGGCCCCCCTGTTTCCGCACCCATTTGCACCATTAGGCTAATTTTTAGCAGGTGAACATTTTTCATCTTTTTCTTTCTGGATATGCTAGAGGGTCTCAATGGGGTTAACCATCAGCCGTAAAAGGGCCTAAAATTTAACCGTCAACCGTCAAAAATGCAGACTGACATTAACCGCCAAACAGTTTAAAGGTAGCTCAGATCTCACTATTTCAGAGGTCTTCACGGAGAATCTCAAAACTGAAAAAAAAAACAGTTCCTACGTTCTCAAAAACGCACTCTCTAGACATTACAAAACCTTAGAACTTGCTTATACGTGCAAATATTTCGAAGCTTATTAGTCTAAGGCCAAGACAACCTCCAAAACCGAAACAATTTATTTTACTTTATAGAGGAGTAAATTTCCACTTAAAAACCGTTAACTGTCAAAAGCTCTAAAATTTAACCGTCAACCGCCAATAATTGACCGTGAAGGCGGCCACCCCATTGAGACCCTCACGGCTAACCAATCGTATACTCACAAATCTAGTTTTTGTGACGTCATCACTTCTCTTCTCTATTGAGAGGCTGTGAACAATCTGTAGGCACCTTTTCCTTCTCTCCCGTTGAAATAGAGCGATCTATTACTCATTCTTTGGTCTGACCTTTACTTGTCTTATCTTTCTGTTTTAGGAACAAACATAACCACTGCATCAAGCCGGGCCCCCGACCCACAACAGCCCGCTGGCGGCGTTCCGATGGATCTTAAAATTGGCCTAACGACAGCATATGCGGTCATTTTTCTCGTAGCTCTGATTGGTAACTCTTTTGGTCTGCTCGTGGTCTTGAAGAAATCTTCATCTCGCAGCGTGACAAACCTGTTTATCGCCAACATGACCGTTGCAGATCTGCTGCTAACTATCACGATTATGCCGTTTTCGGTCGCCAATTTGTACCGTGACACTTGGATCGGGGGAACGCTGGGTAGCATTACTTGCAAAGCGTTGTCTTATGTCATGCCAGTTTTTATTTCCGCGTCTGTTTTCACAATGATGCTGATTTCGTTTGACAGATTCTACGCCGTATTTTTTCCTTTGAAAGAGAAATTCTTCCAAAAGCCAAAAGTCTTGTCAGCAGTTATATGGATCTTATCTTTTGGGTTAATGACCCCTTATGTTTTAATGTATCAAACAACTGAGAAGCAACCAGGCGTATACTATTGTTTACAGGAGTGGCCATGGGCACCACCAAACGACACAGACTTCACCGAAACATATAAAGTGCTTAAGAGCTTCCACATCAGCGTTTTTGTCATAGTATACGCGTTACCTCTCTCCATAACAATAATCATTTACTCCTTAATTTGCCGAAAATTGTGGCTACGTAAGATTCCAGGGAATGTAACAGATACGAACCTCGCTGCTGCTGAAAAATCGAAACGTAAGGTTGTTCGACTGCTGGTCGTCATATGCGTGGTATTTGCAGTCTGCTGGTTTCCTGTCTATGTTAATCATTATTTGTGGTTCGTACGACCTGATCAAAGTCACAAGTTGCCAGATAGTGTTCAGATGCTATTCAACTGGATAGCACATGCCAACAGCGCTTTAAATCCATGCCTTTACATTCTGCTAAATGAAAAATTTCGCAAGGCGTTTTTTGCAACCCTAAGCTGTTGCCCTGGTCTAAGCAAGTACCGGAAAAGTTCGTGGCAATTTGGATCCTCAAACAACGATTGGAACGAAACTAGGACAAGTATTTGGAGGATTGTGACAGTTGCCGGTCGTAAATCGAGTGCTTATACATTACCACAAAGCCCAACGGAGAGCAAATCTGGGCATACAAACTTATCGCTATCTTTGATGAGTGTCAAAGATGATCGCTCGCCACCAAATAGTCCAACTCAGACGTCCCAGAACAATAACGCAAAAGAAACCAAGGATAACGCCGTTGCTGACGCAATCCAAGTGTAGGTCTGTGTAACAGCCGTTTTTGTCTCCTTTTCTAAGGGAATTTAACCATGAACAGCCATCAATGATTTCGATTACCATAGACTGGAAGTTACAGTCATGAAATCTGTGTTTAAGAGGCCATATACCCCCGGGGGGGGGGTACTCCCATACATTACCTATATGGGTATGTGCCGCCCAACTGGGTCGTGATTTTGAACTCCTGATTTAGAGTGGGGTATCCATTTCAGAGGCGTTTCCTAGAACGGGGTATAATATTTCGAATGCACGAAAGCTCCAGTTTTGTAAGCAGCCATTTGAAATTATTCAAGGTCAGATTACGTTTAAAAATATGGTTCAATGCGTTAACAAGCAAACTGTTGTACTCTTTGCACCTTAGAACGGAGTATAAAAAATTGGCCCATTTTTAGAACGGGGTATCAGTTTTAGGGCGAATTCTAGAACGGGGTATCAATTTTAGGGGATTTTTTCTTTAGAACGGGGTGCCAATTTGGAGTCCCGGGCGGCACATACCCACCCAAAAAATACCCAAGTGCCCCCCCGGGCATAAACCTTTGTGTACGAGCCCAATGCACGTGTATACACGTTTAAAAGACGGGGGTCTAAATTTTGTCATCTCCTCTTGGGGATGTTAGTTGCAGATTTTGGTCTTACTTAGGGTGATAAGGACAGGAGACCAAACATTTTTCCCATTTAGATATCGCTGAGGTTGTGCGTAGAGGATTACTATATAATAGTCCTACTGTAAAGTTTTATTTCGTTGCTTGTCACATTCTTCTTAAGGGTAGAAATAAAGCCTTAGCCAAGCCCACACTGGTATCTATCAGGAGTTTCACAGGGGCACCCAACGACGGTTTTCTGTAAAATATCTGTTCGGAGAAGCAAATATTGCCTAGAATTACTGGAGGACGGCTAAAAATTTCTAGATGATCGTTCGTTCAGGTACAACGCTTATCTAATAAATTCGCTACGATTTTCTTAAGTTTAATTTTTCACATTTCAATGCCCAAGTTAGGCTATTTTTCTTAGAAAAGGCTCGAGTTCCCCTAGGATGACAGAACAGTTACAAATTTTAGCGCCGCTTAGAATGCATTTCTAGAGATCTAAAAGTCTCTGGATAGCCTATTACAAAGTCTATTTTTTTAAATGTATTTATGAGGACACTGTCGTTGGGTGCCCCTGGTTTCAGTCCAATTTTCTGACATGCATCCCTGTCGCATTCATGTAGGAGTCGCCCATGGAGGGGACGAAGGGGTGTTTGACAGTTTAATATTGGTCTTTTGAAGTAAAAGTGTCTGTTGATACAGTAGTTTCAGTGCACTACAACAGTACCTTTTTGACGAGCCATGAATTGCTCCGAGGGGAATCCAATGAGAAAAGGGCGGGAACCTTCTGAAAGAGACCAATCAGGACGGGGATCAACGTTTCCTTGACCCCAACAAGGCACCAGACAAAATAGCCAAATACGCGCTGTACAAATTATAATTCCGATACAGAATGCATCTTAAAGTGGTTCTTCCTTTTTTTCTGCTAACTATAGGGTTCTTTCAGTCGATACCAAAATCTGCACCTTACTTCCCTAAATCAGAAGAGAATCCCGGCCCCTTTCATAAGTGAGTTCCCTAAAGGACACTTGAATGGTGAGATGAATTCACCTTACTATATCCATCGCTTACAACTTAGGCAATACCAGTGATGTAAACAGCATAAGAAATTAGCCAGAATGCACATTTAGAAGTGACTAACACAAAAGACCAAGCGATGTTGTGGATGTTGGAATGTGTCAATATAAGGATTTTTATGGAAAAGGTTTCTAGACCGAAATACGTGCGGTCCAGTAGTCTGAGTATCAGTCGCCTCTGGGGGGAAGGGACAAGACAGAATCGAAAAGGGAAGGCAGTGAAGAAGGAGAAACGCCTTTGTTTCGTCCCCCTTCAAAATCTCAAATCTCCTCTGCTCTAACCCCTTAGGAAGTCCTAGCCTGATACTCAGGATAGGTGGGAAGAAATGGAAGAAATGGTTAAGACAGCGAAGTAAGACTTCCTGTCTCTCTTTCCCCTCCCCCCTTCGCCCTCTAATATCTCCTCTCCCCTAAGCCCTTAGGAAGCCCTGATACTCTTTCAACGGTCCAGTGACATTTTCCTTTTATTAAGACCGTATTTTTCCGTAATTTAAACCACCATAAAATCTCAATGTTAACAATTTAAACCCTAAAAATTGGCAGACCTACTGTGTTTGATTATGGGCTCTCTCTCTGGTGGTTTTAGGGTGACATCCGATAATCCGACGAGGGCCTTATTCACATAATCACAAATTATTTATCTCTTTATGTAAATAACTTACAAAGGGTTACACCAGTTTGAAATAAACCATGTAAATAGGGCGGATAAACGGGCCGCATCTTAATTCTCTCATGGCCGGTAGCAGACTGGATTTGAATGCTAAAGAGCAAGAATATACCGGCTAATTAACAGTTATTCCTCGAGGCCGAAGAAGGGCTATTGACGCAGAGGCCATGAGGGCGAGAGGAATAATTGTTTTAGTAAAATCCAACTTGTTTGTCAAAAATATCGAGAAAAAACAACTTTAGCTAGCAAAAAGCGATTCAGCCGCCTTTGGTTTGGTTTTCAAAGCCGTCGCTTTTCGCTACTAGTGGGCTATAACATATAGCCTAGTAGTAGTTCAACCAATCAGCCAACTAAATGTATATAGCTTTAATGGTCTGCGAACCCAACGTGGTCATATATTAAAGTTAAGAAATAAGTAAGGTAGTTTTTAATTCTATCAAAAATGAACGAAATAAGATGTGGTCAGCTGTTAAGTTGAGGCACAAGATGCAGGAAAGGTATTGATTTGTGATGATTAATGTCCATTTCGACTTCAGCTGTAAACATCTTAATACGCCATTTGCAAAATGACGTCATTTTACTACTACGACAAGAATCCTTGAGGGGCTTAGTTTCTTGTGGAAATAAGGGCTTTTGTTATCTAAACCTCGCTGGGATGACCAAAATTGAATAGAAAAGGAAAAACGAGAAGGATTCTGACCGTGGTCGGTAGTAAAATGACGCCATCGTGCGAATTACTTAATTGCGCAATCATGTGCAAACCGGTATGTATAATAATGTTTCATTCCGAATAAGCTTGATTAATGTATAAAGTACTAAACGGTTGAAAAAATAAATATCAGTCTTGTTCAAATGCTGATGCTGTCATTGGTTCCTTCTATATTCTTTTGTAAAAACTGTTAATAAATTGCCCCTTGAAAATAATCTTTTCAACATGTGCGAATGCCTGAGAACTACCTATTTCTTCTAGTCCAAAAAAACAAGGCCTCTGTAAACCGGTCCGTAGAACTCATCATAAAGGCAGTCTCCTAGGGTTACGTTCCCCCCCCCCCTCGGGGCTACGTTCTACTTTGTGAGCAGAGGTTTCTCTCTTGCATAGCTTTTAGCGTTAACGAAGTCTAGCCATGCAAGAGAGAAACCTCTGCTGGCAATGTAGCTACGTTCCCACGACACGGGACAAATTTTCTACCGGTATAAAATTCCCAAAGGGCTAGCGCTTGAAGCTTCGACAGCAGCATCGATTTTCTTCTAACGATATCGATAAATAATCAAAAGGTTATAAGAATTATTACCATGATCACCAAAAGGAAAATGTTTTGATCTTTTGTCAAATTTTCTCAACGAATTCATCAAGGAAATGTATATTGTTTGGAGAATTTGTTTCCGGTTATAGGGGCTTAAAGGAGTTAACATTGGCTAATGTTTTTCTCTCCATCGTCACACCACCACGTTGTTTCACACATTTACTGTTTTTCCAAGTCTTTTATTAAGCTAACACTCATGGATCCTTGCATCAATAGTGACACGTTTATTGATCTGCAGGATTAACTCTTAACATTTTCACAGAAACTCGTAAGGAAAATCACTGGGAGCTAAACATTTTAACGGTGTCGTCTATCCACTGACGCAACTCGCTAATTCGAGCAAATACCGTATATTGTTTGTTCTCCTGCTCAAAATTACAGTTTCCAGACCCCCAGCTCACGACGCCCTGTAAAACAAACTTCCCGGATGATGATTCCTTGCAGACAAATGGTCCACCACTGTCACCATGACAACCTGCGCGCATAACGTCGCCGTAAGGCTCGCCGGCGCATATCATCTGCTGAGTGAGGTTGAGCAGGATTCCTACTGGGGAGAGCTTCAGTTTGTCGTAGCACTCTTTATCAGAGACCAGAGGAAGGTTTGCCTGTTGAAGATTATGATAAGCACCCCCAGGATGCTTTACTTTTCCCCAGCCTGCAATTATTAAAGAAGAAGCCAGTGGTTTCGCTCCGTAGTGAGTTACCTCTTACTAGTTAGCCCCATAACAAATCGAGTTCACCCCATAGTCAGAATGAGCTTTGTCAAGAGCCATAATGGGACTATTATGATCTCTTGCCCGTAAAATATTCACAATAAACAACACGATCCATCAGCCGTTTTGATTCTAACTACCGTCAAGAGACATTGATATACTTTGACATGACAACCTCCAGCGCTCTGTTTAGTGTTCCATTCAAAATTTCCCGAACTTCGATTCCTTCCTGCAAAGAATTCCTTCAATAACCCAAGTTGGCTTTAGTTGAATATCTAAATGACTTGTCGTGATTTAACTAGAATGAAGAGAATTTGGAGTTTTACCATTACGGGGCGAACTTGGAAAGTAGGGGGCGAACTTGTAGGGAGCGAAATTACTGATATACCGTCGGGCATTTGTAACCGGAACCACCAAAAAATTGACTGACATGCTTAGAGATAATAACACCCCTTAGCACAGAGGGACATTTCAGTAACTGGGTGACCGACAGAAGAGAGAGGGTGCGATGTTCCTTTTCGCAGCATTTTCTCCCAGCGGTTTAAAAAAGCTAAAATATTATTAAATGTAGTAAAAGGTTGGCTTTTACTTTTTCTCACAAGTTGAATTTTTTAGTTGTATCATAGCATCCTGCTGATTTCAATCAACCATAAAGTTAATGATAAGTGCTGTATATATCCCCAACAAGTGTTGGACTTGCCGGAGTGAAGATTAAAGCTCTACCATCATGAGCTACAATAATTCTGAGGCGAGGTGGTAATTTAAAACAAAGAAAAGTGATGATGAATTATGTCATTGTAATTGCGAGCTAATTACACACTCTTGTGTTGGGAGTCTTTATGAGTACGTAGCAAGTAGACAATTTTAAAGTTGATTTCTTACCAGTTATAAAGCACGTGCTGTTTAAAGAGACCTGTTCGCCCATCTTAGGCAAGCAGACAGTATTCACGTGACTGTTCAGAACCACAGGCCGGTCAAGCTTGATCAAAGCAACATCATTATTAACCAAGACTGGTCTGTGGTAGTTTGGATGTGTGATAATTTTGGAGACATTGCGCACTTGCTCGGTACCATCAACATAAAACCGATGCCAGTCACCAAGTCGAATACGATAATCGGAAGGTTTAATGAACCAGGAGATACAGTGGGAAGCTGTGAGGACCCAGTCAGGTTTGATAAGTGAACCACCGCAAAAAAACTTGTTGTTATCGTCGCCATTGTACAGACCCACTTGCCAAGGCCAGGAACCGTGAACAGAGTCCTCACCTCCAATAACTCGACCATGCGTTACGACTGACGCCCCACATTCACCTGAAAAACGAAGTAACGTACGCGCAAGAAACACAAATATCAATTTTTAAGCCACAGTCAGAACCAAAATTGTTTTAACACTCCAAAGGAAAAAAGTCTTTCTTATTTAAATACAAAGAAGATCATCGCAGTTCAAGACGCAACTTATGCAGTTGCGAACAGAAAGCCTAAAAAATTCGGGCTTGCTAGGATCAGAACTGACCTCTCCGATCCATGCAGCACACCAACCAAAGGAGCTAGAAAGACAACTGCGGGAAATACACCAGTAGACAAGGCTGCTCCGTGCGTTTCAGCGTTCGTTTACCTATCTGACTACCTAACATGTTTAATGAGCATGATCAGTTTCAAATTACCTAGTGCAGCTCCAGGAGTTACACGGACAGGTAGAGACTCAGGGCCAGTGGCATCTGTTAAAAATAATAATCAGTTAAAAAGTGTACAATGCAACGAACTTAAACAGATGGACGCCTTGAATATAAAGAAACGCTCACGTTTGTGATTGACTAACGAAATACCGTGGTAAGACAAACTCCTGTATTGTGAACGTGACCTCGTTGTGATAGGTCGATTCATGTTCGTTTGCCCTCTTACGAATTCGTTTTACTGCCAGGTACTCAGCCTGTTTTAAAGAGCGACTTCTAAGCATTATTGCAAGTATCACAGGCAGGTACCTTTTGCTTTAAAAAAACATACAGGTAAGGGTGACATAAGCAAAAATTTTAAAGCTAACGGGAACTTTTCTAGCGACTTATACGCCCTAAAATTGAGTGCTAAGTGACTATTCTGATTAATAACTTGCCGCAGAGATTGCAAGTCTTCCCACATTTGCTCTTCGAGTAGTCAAATTTGCTTGGGTCATAGCAATATCCTTTCTGTTCATATCTTGTACAGTCCTTGTCGTCGTCAAAGCAATCTACAAAGTAAAAGATAAGTCTTTTTTTTTTCATTAAAATGTTTTCAATGTAATAGATGAAGGCGAAAATAATTATGAATGTACACCGCGAACTAATGAACATGAATTAAGATAAATTCACTATTTTTACAGAGACCACAATGCACCTTGTTCGCCCTCAAAATTTTTACACAACCATTGTTCAGTTCCAATTTCTCCTGGTTATGGCTTTTCTTCTCTCGACCCAAGAGAATTCGAAGACAGTGTCTATGCAAAATTTTGGGGGGTAAGCAAGGTGCATAATGGTGTCGGTGAAAATGGTGAATGCTTAAGTTGAATGATCCGTACTAGATCTTTCTCTATTAAACATAACCATGACAGAATTCTCAAATCTGATTGGCTATCAACTGTCCTGATTTCAGCACTAATAGGACAGTGTAATAGGACAGTACGATTCATGCGTTGTAATAAAATAAATAAATAAATAATGATTTGGAGGTAGCACATCCACAAAGTGGTTCTTCGTCTACCTAATTCCTCGTCGAATTGGAATTTGGAAATGCTGTTTTTTGTGGGGAGGGGAAAACCGGAGTACCCGGAGAAAAACCTGTCAGAGCAAAGGAGAGAATCAAAAACAAACGCAACCCACATATATATGGCGTCGACACAAGGAATCCAGGTAACATTGGTGGGAGGCGAGCGCTCTCACCACTACGCCATCCCTTGCTACCAATTACCTTGTAACTGGACAGTACGCGCCATCGCTCGCGCGCACTTGATTAAATGGCTTTTTTTAACTGCTGGGAAAAAAATTCTCAGATATTCTTGTGTTTTAAATTAAAAAAGCTTAAAATGTCACAAATTTTGGTATGGTTATGATTAATAGGTAAGAGAACTCCGTGTCGTCCAATTTGGTAAGGTACGGTAAGGTAACGCCTTTATTTAAAGAGGGTAAACACGTGACAGTTATGAAAAAACTGATAAACTTGTGGCCCTCTATGATCATACTCGTGATTAAACAAATCGGACTCCACTCAGTCCTATTACCATTAAAAGGCTGATTTAGCAACAGAACGGGAACGTCAGTTGACGACGGCGTGCGCAATTAACTGGCTTGACCAATGGCAGAGCGACAAATATTGCGCACCGGAAGTCGCGTTAAGTCCTTTACGCGCGCTTTCCCGTAGTCAAATCACGTTCCCGTTCTATTGCTAAATCAGCCTGTTAATTACATTACAGTAGAACCTCGACGGATATAACAAAGGGCCAAGGGAATGGCAAAATGGGTTCGCTATAACGAGGTTTCGTTATCGAGGTTCTTTTTTCATACATTTTGCTATCAGTGGGGTAAACAACAAAACTGATATTCTTCGCACCATAGCTTTTAGATCTATCCGCTTATCGCAATTCAAAAAAACATGGGACAAACTTCTTTAGATATGTGAATGCAATTTTCATTTTCATAATACTTATTCCTTTAAGCTACACTTCACTGTTATACTGTTTCACTTATTAGGTTTGCGTCTTTTTCCTTTTAATTTAGTGTCTTTCCTTTACAAATTTATTTTATATATATATATATATATATTATTTTTCATAGTTAAAAGAACAAGTATTTGTAATTAATTTTTTTTTCATTAAATAAATTTTTAAAAAAAATCAGTGGGGTAAAGAAAATCATTCGTTTTATCGAGAACTTCGTTATCTTCAATACAGAGGTTCATTGTATCGAGGTTCCACTGTATTATACAATTTTTCTTAAAATTGAAACAAAAAAGAGGGAAAGCTAGTGAGTGTAGGGAAAAGATAAAAGAAGAGGAAGACAGCTAAATCAACAATCCTGCCTGAACTATAACACTTGATGACGTCTGACTATAGATGAAAAAGAAAGCTGGGAAAACCTGGCGTTTTATTTTGCTTTTTCAGATGTCTTTGTTTCTTTTCTTCATACCGTTTTTTGCCACCACACTCCACGTCCTCTTTTTCACAAGCTTTCCCAAAAAGCTAAAAGAAATCTAAATTATTTTAAACTTTCAAAAATATTAAATGACGGAAATTGCCAAAGACGAATTGAAAAATAAACGTTAAAAATTCAGTGCAGTAGTTGTCATCGTCGTATTTAATTCAACTTTATCTTCAATATCTTCTTCTCAGAAAACTATAAAACAATGGAGTTCAGGAGCAGTGGGAAATAGAACAGTTAATTACTTTGGTGATATGTTTGTGTTAGAAACCTTTGAATGACGCCAGTATATATATGTTAATCACTAGTGGCTATTATCGCTGCTAAGTCCGCTAAAAATCTAACTCATAATGAATCAAGATACAAGGGGGTGACTCCAATGTGAAGCACGTGAAGACAAAACCAGGAGTTCCATGTAGATGACGTGTCACGGCGCTTTTACAGAACAGTCTCGATTTTGGCGCGAACTTATTTAGAATATCTTTTAAGTCCCACCAATCAGTCAGCAAGTGTCACTTGAATGATTTTCTCTTTCTTGTTTTCTTCTTCTAATTTCCTAAACTAAACAGACAAAACCCTAAGGGATTCCTTTGTGGTTCAAAATACTGGCGTTTAAGTCCTGAACACCATATGAAAGTGTTTTATTATTATTATTTTAACAATTTATTACATCAGACACAAAAAATATAAATTAATAAAAGAAAATAAATAAAGCCTAGTGCAAAAAAAAATGTAATATACATAATCAATCAAAGTACATCTATAAAAGCCACGTATAAAGCAGAGTAACATGATTTAAGCATTATTGACTAGCTAATTACATTCAACATAGACTGGAAAAAATCGATAAAAACTGAAGGAATTAGCTGCAGGTGTCAGGAGTAAGAGAGCTAGTTTTTCAAGAATTTTAAGATCGAACTAAGTGAGAAAAAGGTATTTAAAGAATATTTACAAGGAGGTCCCACTTTTTTGGTAGATCAAGGATTGCTTTGTATTCTATTTCAAAAAAAAATGTTAGTTGTTTTAAAATTCCACTAGATTGGTTTCGATTTCCTCTTTTTACAAATACAGATATAGTATCTGGCTAAAAAAGTGTTACCAAAATATGCAAAAAGCCTACGCCCTGTGCGAGACGACGAGCTTTATCGCCACTTTCGTAGCTATATTCTCCAAATCTCCCCCCCCCCCCGGATATTTTTCGAGTTCTAGGGTTTTGACTGACGAGATATGACTGCAGAAATGTAAGAAGGTCTGAAGAAGGTCTGAACAGAGTGAAAACAAACTTCATACCAACATTAGTGTAAGTTGCATTGAATCCTCTCTCGTTTCTTGTACGATCGGTGACGAATTCGACCCAGAGAAATCGCCCAGAAGATTGGATGAACGGGGGCTTGTTACCGCCACAAAATTTTCCCAAACTGGGAGATTTTTCATCATTGCCATCTCTTATTCTAACGTAGTCACAAGTGCAAATGAAGGGGATTAGACATGTTTCCAGTTGAAATGTGTGGAAACTGAGCTGCACTCTGTGTCCTTGGGGAGCTGAAATAATCCACCTGCAGGTCTGTCTGGGTGGGTAAACATCCGGAAACATTGGGCTGGAAATATTTCCTGACAGACTAGTTAGAACAAGACCATCTTTGCTGCACTTATCACTGACTTTTCCAGCCGACAACAGACCAAAGACTAAAATAAATGTGACGTTTAGTTTTAAGTTTTCTAGTTATGTCAACTTATCTTTTCTTTTTTACCATAATGTTGACGATAGTGTTGATTTAACTAAATGTTCTTTCCTAAATGAAATGATAAAATTAAAAAGTATCAAAAAAAATTAGACTACATGAAGACGTCTTTTTAATTTCCGGTTTTCTTCCATCATACTTAGAGGAGAAGACGTTTTCAAACATGTGAAATAATAAGATTTGTTGGCCTACGACGTTTTTTCTTTTTTCCATTCTGAATGTAACTATTACGAAATGTTCCTGAGATTGTTTAAAAAGACTGACATTTTCATTACATCGTCGCCGGTAATCAAGTTTTTTTCGGTAGCTCAACCAACTGTCTTGTTTTGAACCCGATAAAAGTTCTTGGGTGAAAATACATGGGTATGGATTTAGCAAGATTTAGATATTTAGAAAGTACAGAAATTTACGTCTACTCACCCCAAGTAACGAAAAAAAATGACAGAAGACCTTTCGATATATACATACGAAACATTTCCAGGTTTCTAACGTTGTCAACGTTGGGAAGAAGGTAAGATTACTTACTCTACAATTCACAAGTATTATCATGCAGAAATACTCATTTCAAGTGAATCAGCTGTTCAGGCAGCTTTGTTTGATAGAGGTTTAGAGGTGCAAAAATAGGTTTAAACATTTCACTGTTTAAACACAGGAATCGTACAAAGTAAACAGACTGGATGCTAAATGGATGAAACCTTTGTATTAAGAGTTTTGCCATAAGCCAACAAATGTCCTTTTTTTTAAACTTCTTTTGTATTAGGTTTTGCCTGAATAAACAGATCTCCTTGGCAAGAAATCCCCAGTTTTTGTTTTAAACAAATATTCCCGATGAAATTCCTTACAATGTTTCACTTGTTATCGATTTTTCTTTGTTCTTCTTTAAAGAGTGTCAAGAGTGCCAGACTCCGTTCACGGCTTCACATACTTCAAACTGTAGGTATTCTTTGAGCTGTATCTCCCGGTTAACAGTTATATATAACTGGAAATTTTTTCCCAACAGCGCGCACTCTCATTGGTTACTTCGAGGTCACATGACATCTAACAATGAAACTGTTTCCCGCCAAAATCCCTGAGGAACATTGCAAAATCTATGACGCCAGAGGGTAACGGTGCCTTGTGACCCGCGAATGTTGACCGACGATCGCCGTTACGGCGAGGTTTAGTCAATTTCCAGGTTCAAAGTTTCCAGCTATATAACAAATCACTTAAAGACTTGCCCCTCGACAAACTGTTAATTTCTTTTCCCTCGAATCTCAATGTTTCAATCGGGAAACAGAATTAACTGTTTCCCCCGCGACCAGTCATCAAGCGTCCCCCCCTTCCCCGCAACCCCTATAGAACCAGGTTTAAGAGAAGGAAATCAAGTAAGTAATCAACAAAATTGACTATTGGAAATAAGATCAGTTTAAATTCCGTTACTTAGACGAGTGGAGGATCTGTCACTGGCCACTTAATCTTCTATTCATCTCTCGAAATTGTTGAATCACTTGATGTACGCTTAATTGCAATAACGTTGCCACAGAAAAATGCTAAAAGGAAAAAGGAAAGAGGAAAATTAACTAGGCTTACTAATAAACCACAAAAGGCTCTGTTCAATAATTTGCAGCAGGGGCGGTTTTTTTTCGAGCCGTCAAAAAAGTTACAAATGCGACAGCTGAATCTAAAGTGCTTTAAATTACTAGTAAGCCTAATTAATTACGCGTTTCCTTTTTATATTTTACATTTTTTAGCATTTTTGAAATTAGGTGTATCTCTACTATATGTTTTGTCGAAAATTGTAGTAGAGATACTCTGTTTATATGCAGCTAATTTGGTTGGTTAACAACTGTCCGATAACTAGTATGCTTTATTCTTCCAATTAATTTCTGGAAAAAGGCACAGGTAGAGAATAACGCAAAACGTTTGAAAAAACTGTTGAAGAATTTCGTTAGTGTTGATTTTATGTTAGGAATGGCAGCTCTTTTAAGGGGAAAGAAGATGGAGTCAGGAGATCATTATGGAAGACGCGCTGTGTCTAATTTTCCAACCCCTTGCTAAGATCCCATGCTATACTAAAATGCGCTCCATAAACTGCATTCAAAAGAGAAAATTAATCAACTAGTGATCGTGCGTTTTGTGTGCTTTTGCAATACATAACAATGGTCTTAGATAAGATGTTCAAATCCGTTTATTCTTTCTTCATGTTTAGATTATTACAGTTCTTGTGCAGTTGTCTGCGCAGAAACAAAGACATGAATAAAAAATGAAAGTAAAAGATCTTTAAAATGTCAAGCCGGGTATTTTTGTCTGTCCGTTCCGTGTAAAAACGATTACTTGATTTAGTTATTGGCAATTTGCTGATCTATCCAATCACGAAACTCGCTGACACGAGCGAAAACGGTGTATTGTTTATTCTCTTGGATAAAATTACAATTTGAAGAGCCCCAACTAACAGCTCCTTCCAAGATAAACTTCCCAGATAGCGGGTCTTTGCAAACGAATGGACCTCCACTATCACCATGACAACCACCCTGCAATCGAGTGGGGTTCAGCTCTCCTGCGCAGACCATTTGTTTAGTTATGTGTAGTTTTCCCGCCACCGGAGAAGCGAGGATCTTCGCTGAGCATTCCCTGTTGGATACGAGGGGCAGCTGGGTTTGTTGAAGTTTGTGGTAAGAGCCTCCTGGAAATTTAACTTTACCCCATCCTGGAGAGAAAGAGAGAATTGTTGGGCTCGATTAGTAAATTGTTTTGCTTCCATAATGTTCGCAGAAGTTATTTTACCTTGGTTAATATAAATCCTTTCTACTTCCTCTACCGCCCCTCAAATAATTTAGTAAACTTTGGCTCATGAGCAAACATGGGTAGAAACGTTCTATTTCAATTAAACTCTCTCCCAGTGAATTCTTTCTCCTTTTCAAGAAAAATGAGCGCAATTTGGGTTCGGGACTTTAAATCAAAACTTTCCTCTCTATTGAGCTATATAATCTCAGTCAATTGGCAACTAGCAGAACATACTACAGTTAGATTGCTGAGTGTTCAGCGTACCGCAAACATAATTCAGAGCTGTTTGATCCATGAGTGGGTAAGATGAAGCGAGCCCTGTGTTCTGTTTGGCAACCCAAGCGACACGCCCGGGATTTCCCGGGTTAGTCCCGCAAAAAATAATTATCTTTTTGGCCAAGTAATAAATCCTTTATAGAACAAGCTTGTTTGGTGAATATGTCGGAATATTAGCCTCGTTATTTTTGGCGTTTTTATAGACCACTACTTCATCTTGATCCATAAAAACGCTACAAAGAACTTAGGGAATATCCAGCCAACGTTACCCCACGCTTGATCAATAGTATTTATGAACACACATAAACGGAAGAAATTTTAACTTACCTGTAATATAACAGGTGCTATTTAAAGGTGCACTGATTCCACGCTGAGGAAGACAGATGGTGTTCACGTGACTGTTTAGCAACGCTGGGCGATCGAGCTTGATGAGAGCAATGTCGTTGTTGATAAGGTATGGACGATGGTACTGTGAATGCACAATGACTTTGGACGCGTTGCGGACCTGCTCTGTACCGTCATAATAGAAGCGATGGCAGTCTCCCAAGCGAACTCGATAATCGCTGACTTGCAGTTTTGGATCGATGCAATGCGCTGCTGTTAAGACCCAGTCTGGTTTAATGAGGGAGCCTCCGCAAGAGAACTTAGAGTCCCCTACGTACAGACCAACTTGCCAGGGCCATGATCCATGTTGCCCATCTACGCCCCCGATAACTCGGCCCTGAGTAACCACAGTTCTGCCACACTCACCTAAACAATTTAGCAGTTAAAAGTTAAAAAAAGATGTTTTTTCAATCAGTGACACAGGGGACTAGGAAGATAAATCCTAGTACTCCAGATAGGAGTCCAACCTATGGCCTCGCTTATCAAGGTTACTAATCCAGATGCTCTGCAACTAAGCTACAGAACACTTGCGGGAGCTAAGGCCATGTAACAAACATCACGGGTGGATCCAGGATTTTTCTTTAGAGGGGGTGCACCACTGACTAAGGAATGACGTCACTGACTGGTGACGTAAAACAAATTTTAAAAGCGAATACGAAGAAGAAGGCTTTTGACTAGGCAATAACATAATGTGAACTGCTGAGAATACATATCAAATGATACAGCAGATTTTGTATAACTGTAAAGCGGGCTGCACAGTGTTAATGCAATGCTGTAAACGTAATGTGTCGTGTTGGTCGTCATCTCAAGGGAGGGGGTGAGCACCCCCTGCACCCTTCCCCTAAATCTTGCATGTTGATTGGCCTGTATGT